CTATATTTTTTATATAATAATTATATTATTAACATTAATATTTTATTTTTTATTAAAAAATTAATAGTTTTTTTTATATTTGCAGGCAAATTTGCCTGCATTACAGACGAAGGGATAATAACGTTTCAGTTATTATACTTATTAGATATTTTTGCAAAGAACACTTTTGCGAATGCTCTATCTCCAATTTGCTTCAACTTTTTGTCTTAGCAAAGCACTCACAGATTTATCAAATCAATTGGTTTGCCATCTCCTTTATACTCAATAACAATACAGTATTACAATCCACATCATATACTGCTTTCTTTATCTGAAGAATTAAATATTAATGTCTCTTTGAGATGTTACCAACTTTAAAAATTCTCAAATTATAACATCTATCTCTTTATAATCCTCACTCTTATGTTTATGATGTGATGCCGCTGATGAAAATTTCTATCACATATAGATGTATCCTACTGTTAATTATAAAATGAAAAAAATCATTCAATAATCTAAATCCTATCTAAAAGATATTACTAATGCACGTGATTATGAAATTTATCTTAAAATATTTGACGTGACTATTGTTAACTTGTTCATGACTTTAAAAAATCTCTCAACATTACTTTTGATTCTAAAGCTGCCAATTTTATTACTTCAGGTTATGATCTCTCATCTAATCCTTCTATTCATTCTTTTAACTCTCCTCCTATATTCTCAATGATATAGATGGGATCCCATTAATTGAATTTTTAGTGCAGTAGTGACCTTGCCCTCTTTACTTTACTTTATTTTCTTATTTAAAAGATGACATTCTTAGCTTAGGTTAGGTTTTAATTTTGGGAGAATGCAGGGTTGGTCTTCTATAGTCTTAAGCTTAGATTATTTCTTTACGAGATTTTTGTAATTTCTTTTGATTTGTACTTTATTTTATATATATTTACTTTCATAATAAAGATATTGTAAAACTACCATACTTCAAAAAAAAAATCATGTAAAACAGATATATAGAAGAAAAAACTCTTTCTGCTAATCACCAAAAAATGCTCAAAAAAATCAAAATCTAATAACTATGATCACTTTGCATTACTAGTAAAAGAAAAAATACCACCACAAAAAAGACAGAATACTACTCAAATAGCTGAACAAGAAGTCATTGCTGAAATTTCTAATATTACACAACCTCCTGTTATCACTATGAAAGTTGACCAAATATCTAACACTACATTCCTGCCCTTGATAAAAGAAAACTAAAGAAACTGATACAGTCACTGAAATCACAACCAATAACAAAAAAGATGAAATAAATGTCAACGGTCCATCTGAAGCATCTAAAAATACCATCAATACTATCTCAGTCGCTTTCACTATGCCACTCCTTAGTGCTGAAAATTTTTTACATATTTTCTGCTCGAAAAATACCCTAGAGCAAACTCCTAACAGAAGATTGCTAAAATCACTGACAAATATTATTTCAACTATGCTTTCTTTGTAAAAGTTACACATAGAAAACTTCCTGCTAATCTTGCAATCAACATTCTTAAGGTTACCTTTTTAGACTCTAACAAACATGATGATCTTTGTAAAGTGCAGATATCTAATATGAATAAAGCCACGTTTTTATCTCTGGTTATACAAAAATTGCATCTGCACAGTCGATCACAGTAACTAAGATCCCGTTAGATTTTGCAGTTATATAAATTAAAATTTTTTTCCTGTTATGAAAATATTATACATTGCACTATAGAAACTCAAACTTATGGTAATGTGTTACCATCACCTTTGATAATAAAGTTAAATTTGATCTTCTTCAAGCGACTGATTAATTGCTTATCATCAACGACTTTGTTCATATTCATATGTATAATCAGAACAGAAATGAAATCCAAGATCACTTCAAATTTTCAAAAAAACTAACTAATCTTTTACGAAGTACTACAGTACGTGACTTTCTTAATATTGGTAAGATGGTTAATACTACCACTTGAATTATTCTGCGAGCAAGATCAAACTATAATTACTTGCAACATGCATACTTTACTTTCATAATGCTGACAAAGCTAATGTTGCAATTACAACTAACAAACTCACACTTAACAATAAAAAACTCAAATAGACTGAAGCAAAAATTAAACTATATGTTATTTATTCGTTAACAAATTATAATGTGTTTTTATACCTTAGAAAATAAAATGCACTAAAAGACAAAAGCATCCAAAATCTTTACCAAAGATTTTAGCCCACTTAATTTAATAGATATACTACACCTAAGAAATCTTATGATACTATTAGAGATAATATTACATTTGTTAATATAACTAACTAATCAAACTCTAACATTAAACATCTGCAAACTCAAAATAGACAATCTTCTTCTCCTCTTTTACTGAAGAAACCTATTGCTACAGCCATATCAAATAAGAATAGTATCAAATTACCCTTTGTAAGTTAGACTGATAAACCTATGGATAATGATACTATCTTTAATAATACTGTATATCTTATTTTAAATATAAAAAACAGAACTACTGTAGACAGCTTTATATATGACTCAGATTTTAAGAAATTTGTTACTTCTCAACTTGAATCTATCGTTAGTACCCTTGGTGACCTTTGTTCTACTTTTAAATTTTCACAATCTCGCCTTGAAGTGGTTGAAAAGGCACTAAATATTAAAGTTACAACTCCTTAGCTGAAACTTATAATAATACACTTCCAGACTCTGCTTCTGAAACTGAATTTAAATCTCTTTTATTGATATAACTCTTTGTACTGTCTACTTACAGTCACAAACCAATGAACAACTCATCACTATTTGTCAAAAACAATAATAATGAATCTTTAAATTTACTTCAACAATTAACAAGCTGTTTAAAACTTGTCAAGACTTCCAAACTGTGTTTATTAACAAAAATCTTCTCAGTCAATATGACACATAAGTTTTTGACCTCTTGAATAAAGATTTTAACAAAATAACAAAACGTTGCATTAGCAGCTTCTCACAATAAATATAACATATATTATAAATACTGTCCTTCAACCCATTATCCTATTCAATTTATATATTAACATCAGAACACTACAGAAATTTTCCAAATCCTCACACAAATATCTTAAAGATAATCTGATTTCTCTCAAATGGTTTAACTTTTATGAAAAATTCCTCAAAACTGCTTATGATTATTTATTGTGTATTATCTCAATAGGTCCTTTCCTAATAATATTTATATTAGATTAATATTACTTAACATATAAGTGCTAATAGCTTATTTACAAATAAAGGCTAAACTCAAAGAACATGAATTTAAACTTTCAAACATATAACAAACCCTACAAAACAGAATTGACAATTATAAATCTGATTCAAAAAAGATGATAGACTCTGTCTTAAATAGAAAAAGAAAACTCATCATTTTAAATAAATGTCTTGATAACAAAAGTTTCTCACTTAATTTACTTATAGATGAATTAGATGTTCAAAAGGAAGTTACTTGACATTTTCAATAGGTAACTGGTATGACTCACAAAGATAAGTCAATCTCAGAAGAATGAACATCAACCTATTAACTTATATCTGAAATTGATTTGTCAATTTACAATATCTTACTTCAATACCATCAGCAGATAAATAGTATAGAGTTATAGATCAACTTCTGAATAATAAAGCTCCTGATCCTTCAAAGATTTCTAACAAAATGCTTAAACATCTTAGCTTCTTAGGAAATAAAGTATTTTGGTACATTATTTGTGACTGTCTTCAGATTTCCTCAATTTTATCAAGATGGAATATGGTATATATGTTTACCTTATTCTAAACCTGAAACTACGACAATTTGATTTGAATAACACTTGACCAATAATATTACTAGAATATTTAAGAAAAGCTTTTACAAAACTTTTGAATATCAGATTGGCTTTTATTTTTACTAAACATAATATACTAAAAGGATTCAACTTTGCTAACCTTCCTTTCAAATCGATATTTAATCCCATTTATATAATTAATCATATTAAATAAGACACCTTATTTAACAACTAAGAACTTTAGGTACTCCTTCAGAATATGTCTAAAGCTTACAATCATGTTAATGTCTTTATATTAACCAAAGTTCTTAAATGACTTAAAATTCTATTCTTGTTTATTTAAATTATAATAAAGATTTTTATATCCCATTTTAACCAAGTTTTCACAGCATATGAAAATACTGACATATATTTAGTTTACTCAGAATTGACCAAGAAGAAGTAATTTTACCACTTTTGTGATGCATTTATTATGACCCACTTCTGTGTAGAATTAATAATTTATCCTATAGTTATAACATAAATGTACAATAATATCCTGACATTTGTTTCACTCAAATATATCTTACCAATACAAAATTTCTGCTTTAGCATTTATAGATGATATTTTGTGGATGGCTAAATCCTGAGAGGATCTATCATGCATCACTTTAATTGCTAATATTTTTTTAATTTTAATGATATCCAAGTTAATTGATCAAAATCAGAATTGTTAGTTAATACTAATTAATCACTATCTTTTGTTATTCAATATAATTAACAAAATTGTGAACTCATCCCTCACCACCCAAATGATAACATTAGATATCTTGATGTATGGATATTATTGTGACCTAATAATAACTTTATTGTAAAATAACTGCATGCTAAAATTAAAAATGCTGTCACCATTATGAAAAACAAAAGGTTAATTAACTTACAAATAATCTATATCTACAATACAGTAATTCTCTCAAAAATTAAATATAGAGCTCAACTCACACTCCCATCAGAAGCTTAATCAAAATATTAAAAGTTACATTCATCACATTTTTGAAAAGAAAACTTATATTTCCACGAATTACACCCACTGATCTATTTAACTCATATTATTTTTACAACATCATCCTATTACAACAACTACTTCTCCAATATTTCAGTTCAGTGCTTTTATAAATGATCAACAAAACTGATCTTTTAGGATTAACATTTCTCATAAGAATCAAATAACTACAAATCAAAGAATGGTTAAACAAAAGCCTCTTGATCTTTTGGTCTTATAATATAACACAAAAAAATGATGATTGGCTTCTGTCTACTCTTTGTAATATAAAACTATTGAACATATTTTTGAATGTTTTCTTTATCTTTTACTAAACCATAGAAGGCAGAATACATACTATCCATGAACTTATTCTAACTCATTATAAAGCTTTTGCTAGAGACCTATGTTAATGCTCAGTCTTTTATATTGAACAATTATTTAACTGTTATTATGATTATATACTTAATTATAGCGACTTCTGTACTATTACTAATACTAAGAAAAGACTATATATAATACCTAAATAGTTCATGACTATTAAGCATTTATTAACAATAGACAAAAATAGAATGCCTCTACCAATGATCAGCTTTAAACACAACCAATGTTATGGATACATGATCTGACCTCTTAAAGTTAAACTTAGAACTTACAACTATATTGTTAGGTAAGATATTGCTACCAAATCATTTATCACTAGACGTCCTACCTACCTTAATAATAATACTATACATATTAAATACTACTTACCTTTAGTAGGCCCTCGTTATTACACTATAAGTGTATTTATTATTGTTATTAAATGTATATTGAATACAATGTTAAGAACTTGTTGGAATCTGTTAGAATCTGTTGGAATCTGTCCTTTTTCCAAGGCATTTTCATACCCTTTATATAGGAAAATTACAATTAAAGAAAATCTATGGTATTTATGATACTACTGACAATAATAACAGAGCTAAC